AAGACGACAAAGATTAAACAATTGAGGCCAGGAAAGAAGCTGCCCCCGGTGGACTAGGGCCCACGACAAATGTGTGTGAACACAAGACGACAAAGATTAAACAATGCCCATCAAAACAATCCTCCTCCTGCACCTCCCTCCTCTTTCTCCCGCATTGTCCTCTACCCCCTCCTGCTCCTCCTCCTCCTCCATTCAGGACCCCTTCACCTCCTCCTTCCCCTCCTCCTCCTCCTCCTCCTTTCCCTTTTCCTCCCTCCAGGACACCCTTGCATCCCCTTCCTTCTCTCCTCGTCCTCATCCTTGTTCTCATCTTGGTTTCGTTCTCGTCCTCGTCCTGTTTCTCCCTATCACTGCTAACTGGACAGGACAATGTATGGGATGGGAGAAGAGGTGCTTGGCTGTATGGCATGCTGCTGTTCCTACCATGCATGGTGTTGATTAGCCACGTGAAAAGTGAAAACAGGTTTTTGTTTTGTTTTGTTTTTTGCATGGAAATATTCGCACCTTTTTGCTGTGCAAAACCAAAAAAATAACATCCTACGAATGGAGAATGTTGGAAAAGAATCATCTTCAGGTGGAACCATCATGCAAATAGGGCTAATTATGTGCCAATTGTGCAAAAAAGAAGTTCAAAATGTAAAAATCATGGTTACCCCGGACAGAGCATGAGGTCCGGCCACACTGACGTCCGGGAGAATCCGGATGAAAAGAAGAAGAAGAAGAAGAAGAAGAAGAAGAAGAAGAAGAAGAGGAAGGAGAAAAGAAAAGAAAAGGTTACAGAAGGTTTACAGACAGGGAGTGAATTGGGCCCTACCTACCTCAAGGCAGTATCCAGCCTGTGCACATCTCTCTCTCTCTCTCTCTCTCTCTCTCTCTCTCTCTCTCTCTCTCTCTCTCTCTCTCTCTCTCTCTCTCTCTCTCTCTCTCCACTCATGACAACGGGCATCCGAAGGGGCAGGAATAGAGAAGCCCACCGACACTGTTCAGCATGGCACGGACGACCACACAGACCACAGAGAGCACGTTGCTATCGGCTCGTGTAGCACGTCACTGCGTCCTCAAATAATTCTCCAACAAGGGAACCCCAACGGGCCGGATGCATGCAAAAACAGCCCGTGATTGAGACACACACACAGTGGCATATATATATATATANTCTCTCTCTCTCTCTCTCTCTCTCTCTCTCTCTCTCTCTCTCTCTCTCTCTCTCTAAATCAGAATCAGTCTCAGCCCGGCCCTCTTTGGCTTTCTGAAAGGGCCGGAAAATAGTCAAAAAATCCCAAAACAAAATTTGACGGGGTGGGTCGTGAACGAACCAAAAAAAAAAAAAAAAAAAGATTTCTGCGAGGACATCCAGACACTGATGGTCCGGAATGGGATCTGGACGTCCGGACGGTAACCATGAAAAATTATATATATCGTAAAATTTGGTAAAAGTTCCGTAAAACAATATATATTTTTTAATTTTATTTGTTATTTTAAATTTGTTAAAGGAGTTCGGTGTGGCCCTGACACAAAAGTTGTTCAGTTTATTTTTCTGCATAACATAGTTTTCTTTTCGGATTTTTTGGATTCTTTTTTTTTTTTTTTTTTTTTGCTGGGACCTTCCCTGGTCCTTGCACGGCCCGGCAAAACGGGGTGACCCAGGCAGCCCGGCTGGTAGCCTAGATAAGAACAGATTACTGTGTTTTTTTTTTTGTGTGTGTGTGTGTTGTCTCCTCATGAGGCCCCCCCCCACACACACACACACCAACAAAACAAAAAAGGAGAAGAAAAATGATACATGCTCAGTTGAGCGATGTATGTGGGAGCCAAGGATCCGCAAAGTGATGAAAAGGACTCGAGTGGACAATGCAGCGTCACCAAAGCATGAACGAGCAATATACATCCAGATACATATGAAAATAGCACAATGTAGCGCAGCGGAAGACTAAAAGATATGACCTGACCTGTCAGATACTGATGCGACACCCCATCATACACCACACATGTGAGAGAGGGAGGAGGGACCACATACATGGAAGAAAGGTCCCCCCTTGAACACGCACATGGGGAAGATACCACGGATGAGAAGATGGGGGAAAGGCGAGACGAAGATGGTGAGGAGGGAGAAGACCAAGATCGCGATAGCGAAGTCCAAAAATAGTCTCCCAGCCAAAGGTCCAATCAATGTCTGCCTAAAAAATGTCGAATCAGATCCTGGGCTTCATGCCCGATGTAACCTCTGCCTGTAATCTCTCTCTCTCTCTCTCTCTCTCTCTCTCTCTCTCTCTCTCTCTCTCTCTCTCTCTCTCTCTCTGTCTGAAGGAAGAATAAGAAGAATGAGAAGAAGAAGGAAGGGGAAAGAAGAGATGGAGGGTGAGACGATGAAGAAGAAGAAGATGTCGTCCTCCTCGCTGTCTCACCTGCAGGTAACTGCCGCCCTGTACTAACTGCCGCCCGTCGCTCTCTCTCTGTGTGCAGGTTGCTGGTGAGAGGGCCAGCTATGGGGCCCAGGTAGGAGCTCCGTCCACCTCCTTCCCTACCTACACCTCTACCTCTAGTGTAGGGCTGTCGTGCTGCTCCAGCAGCGTGTCGCCCAAGAAGTGAGCTACTCAAACTGTGTGTCTGCCCTGGCGTGGCCCAGCTATAAGTAGCGCTGGGCCTCGTGGGTGTGCCTCCGTGTGCCTCTGGTCTTAGGCCAAAACGTGGCCTGCCTGGGTCTCTACCGGACGTCCAGGCCCTCCCTGCTGATGCAGCAGGGAGTGTCCGCAACTGGACAACAACGGACATGGTCCGAATGGGCCTGCCTGTGACCGTACAAGTTCCAAAAGTCTGTTCGGACGAACTGCAAGTCCAAAACGACGCCTGAACAGACAAAAATAGGACAGCAAATAAATAAATAAATAAATAAATAAATAAATAAATAAATAATGGATGTTGCCTCAAATCGAAACCTGCAGCCCTAAGGCCGCCCATGGGCCTCCAGGGTGCGTGTCTGAGGGGCGTGCGGCCTGGGGACCCCCAGCCGTCGGGCCCCCAAAATGGGGCCCGTGTGCAGGCTCAGGATGTAACAAAAAAGAGAGAATAATCCAGCACGACGTGATATAGCCAGTCACAAAACTATAAATCTTTGTGTTATCGGCTTATCACACCCACATTGTGAGTCCAGCAGTAAGAACCATCATAATCCAATTGAGTGGATTATGATAATGCCCTTGAACAACCTTCCCAGCCTTTGGGCTAAAAATAGATCAAACGTAAAAGGTACTTCAAAGATTACTAAGTACAACGGACCCGCTTCTGAAAGAATTTTCACAAATTGTGCTGATTGGCTTTTTTGTGCATCCAAAGCGTATTTTATTGGCGCGATTTCTCGAAGCAAGGCTTAGCTGAAGTGTTTGGTGAACCAAAAATGATGTTGCCTAAACTTTGTAATTGGTAAGTACCATTACGAGCCCCAGGGTCACCAGCCCGTACGTACGGAGGTCCCAGGGCCGACCTCCGTACGTACAGGCGTTCGGGGTCCCGTTTCGGGTCCAAACCCGATGGCATTCGGTCCCCGCCAAACAAAAATTAAAAATCGCCAAAGACGGTGGTGCCAAAACGTGCTCGCCCACTCACTATTTTGTTTTTTTTTCACTTTTTACTTTCTGTTTTCACTTTATTGCGGGGCCTAAAACAATTTATTATTTTTGAAACTTTTTTAATGAGTTTTGTTACTTTTGTATCATGCGAAGTACATATCTGTAAATTTTCAGGGCATTTGGATGTGGCAAAAAAAAAAATTGAAAAATTGCCAAAGATCACGGTGTCGAAAACGTGCTCACTCACTCACTAATTTTAATTCTCTTTTCATTTTTTCTTATTTTTCTTATTTATTTTATTCTGTATTTTAGTTTTATTTCAAATTTCGTAAGGAATTAGGATGTAATGCTCTGGCAAATGTTGTTTATTTTATTTTTCTTCATAACATATCTTTTTAGACTTTCTTCAGATTTTTATCATTTTTTTTTTTTTTTTTTTTTTTTTTTTTGTCCACGTTCGACCCGAATGGCCGAACGCATCCCCAAGGGGTCCCGTACGTTTGGGCGTTCGGGTTCGGGCTTTTGGCCCGTCCCGAACGCCGGTTACCCTGACGAGCTCAATATATACGAGTGTTATTTTGTGAGATTACGCGGATCTTAAATCATCTATCGAAGATCCTTCTCTTTATAAACTTCAGGAGGCTTACTGGTAAACCAGCCAGGCGCCTGAAAAAAAAAAGAATAAAATGATGACGTCTTTGAAGTGGGCGGGAAGCCTGAACATAATGATAACCGAATGCGTCAAGGCATAACATGCTGATGAGTCGGTGTTTAACCATGATCTCACATCCTCTTCCCTTTTGCCGTGAGGAGATGGCAGGAAAGCAGTATGTCAAGTAACAACAATTATAATCCACAACTCAACAGGGCATACAACCTCTCACATACTTACATGGTGGTTGTTGTGCCAACCCTCTCCAAGGGTTAGGAGCGCAAGCCATATGTTATTGCGGGCATCACAATGGGTGTTGAACTCACACTTGAACTTCCGGCTGCCTACAAGATGTGCAACAGAGTTGATTGCATATCTGCACCACAACAAACAACACAGCTTGGTGTTCACTTGCAGAAAACAGACAGGTAGAAGAGGGAGCTGTAGGAGGAGGAGGAGAAAGGGGAGGACGAGGAGGAGGAGGTGAAAGGAGAGGAGGCCGACGAGGAGGAGGAGGAAGGGGAGAAGGGCAAGGAGGAGGAGGAGGAGGAAGAGGAGGAGCAGTGGCATCAGGAGGAGCAGAATCGGCATCAGGAGGAAAAGCAGCAGGCAGGGGGAGAAGCAGCAGCATTGCGATGAAGTTTATTGGATACCTGTGGGGCAAGGAATCACACATCTTGATCTTTTACAATCGCTATTTGCAAAAGGCATCCTTTGCCATTAGATGGGCTTGCAGCAGTACTGGTAGCAGCAGGAGCAACAGGAACAGCAGGAACGGGCGGAGGAGGAGGAAAATGAGGACAGATCAGTAGGAGGGTGACAGAATGACGAGCTGAAGCACCACCAGCAGGAGAACAGAAGTCGCCACAAGACAGGCAGAAGCTGCCACACACATCAAAGTCATTGGTGATAAAAGTAACAGCACTGGTACTAGTAGTTAGTGGTGGTGGACGTTATAGCAATAGCTACTATACTACTACTACCACCACCACTACAACCACCACTACTACTACAACCACCACTACTACTACAACCACCACTACTACTACCACTACTACCACTACTACCACTACTACCACTACTACCACTACTACAACTACTATTACTACCACTACTACAACACTATTACTACCACTATTACAACTACTATTACTACCACTACTACTACTACCAGCGCCGCCACTACTACTACTACTACTACTACTACTACTACTACTACTACTACTACTACTACCACCATCACCACCACCACCACCACTACTACTCCTGCTACCACCATGTTGCATACCGTAATGGTGCAGACCAGAACAAGAACCGACCTCTCTCACATAGTACAGGATAGCGCAGCGGAAGGCTAACATGCCAACGATCAGACCAATCAATGTCGCAATGCAGACCAAACATACATCATCATCATTGCATGGTGTGAAGGGGCCTGGCGCTACACACAGGAGGAATGCGCCAGGCTCAGATCATACACAGACGAAAAGGAGGGGGATCAGACGAAGAGGAAGGGAAGGATGAGGATGT